CATTGTCAGTAGCTACAAATGATGATCACACAAAGAACTCGCACGTAGAGTATGGCAGTATGAAAGCACTGTAGTGTAACAAAACATATATACTATTGCGCTTATTACTGGCAAAACATTTCGGGCCAGTTCTTTTGCAGGCTTCCAGAACAAGCTGGAATAAGCTGCCCCCTATCCAGCTTATACTAGAAGCCCAACCAAATATATTTTTTAGAAGCCTACTAATTAAGGCTTGACTTAGTAGGCTTCCAAAAAAAAAATTTGGTTGGGCTTCTAGAATAAGCTGGGTAGGAGGCAGCTTATTCTAGAAGTCCAAAAAAGCTACCAAAAGAACTGGACCAAAAAATGATTTGGAACCTGCAGGCGGCTGAAATCAATAGAGAGAGTACAATCGAATATCATATTATTAAACGAATGCACAATCGTATTACAATCACATTGTTTAGATGGTAATCAAAAGCCAAAAGTAACACAAGAAAATCCAGGCAGAATCTAGTTCACATGTTCTGTTTGATACCTTCTCAGTAAAAAAAAAACAGCTTTGATTCAAACAACATAAAAGATCAATCTCTTTAGCACAAGAAACTTGAGAAGATAGACTTCAGATAAGAAAAGGCAAAGCCAGCCATATCTAGCAAAATACTCTAATCAAAATAAACAATGTAAAAAGTATTATATCTAGTCAAAATGAACAACCATATGCATATATCTAGTGCAGGCTGCAGTAAACTATGCAAAATTAATCACAGTGACTTTATTAACAGTAAAAAGTAAGTGTTTTAGCTTCATTTTGTTTATGTTGAAATAACATCTGTATGATTTTCAATATGATGAATCATAGCAGCTTATAAGCCAGCATAAGAGCATGGTAACTTCAGCAATTTTTTTACCATGAGCCAAGATATACTTTATCTCCTAGTGATAGCAAAAGCTGCAGAGAAGGACTAAATGCAGTACTTGTAGTGGTAGTTCAAAATTTGATGTCTTCAGTCCTCTCATGATCTTTCTCTTGGATTGAAGGTCTTTTTATGATATCCCTGAACTAAGCAAAACACTAAATAACTGTTGTTGAAACATAAATTCTTTATGCACAATTAATTACATCTATATGATCAAGTGGCACTATAATCAGCAAATTTGCATCATTATTTTTTCTTAATGACCTACGGAGGCTCCTACCTAAAATAGCATACATTCACATTCACATTCACAAATAATTAAGTCAGATAATCAAAGGGGAAATCACACCGACGCAGATTATTACACTATAATGGTTGGATAAAAGCGTGGAGATAGGCGGGAAATCTCGTCCTTTTAATACTAAACTTACCATATATCTCATGTCACATCCCTTATGGCAGCTACCACCTATGGCATATCGTTCACATTCAGAAACAATCAAGTCAGATAATCAGGAGGGGAACGGCAAGGCGTATCATCACGATTGAATAACTAAATCGACACTGACATGGATCACATGGTGTTTTAAAGCTCGCAGGGGGTTAAATCTGGAATTAACACAGCAAGCCTACCTCTCCTCATTTACTCACTTCCATGTACTACTTACTACCATCAAGGGATTCGGTTCTAGGCGACAACAGCAAATAAAATGTAATAAATCCCGGCAGTAATGTGAACTGGCACTTGGCGTAACCACAGTGTGTGCGCGCACTGAGCAAAACCTAACCAAGAGCAGAGCAATTGCTGTCCATCCGATTGCATGCTTTGGTATCCAACGGAAGCAGAGGAAATGGACGGTGCTCGCCCGTCGGCCCGCCGGAGGAGGCAGAGCTCCCCGGGGATCACCCGTTCGTACTACCCAACGCGGAGATTCCGCCGCTCCCCCTCAAAATGGGCAAACGCAATCTCTAGTAACTGTCAACCCCTACCAACGGAATCGCGGGAAAACCGATCGCGCGCGCGCCGGCGGGAATCCGAATGCGGTGGCGGGGGGAGGCGGCCAGTAGGCGCGGGGGAGCGGGAGGAGGGCTCACCCGAGATCGGCGGTGCCGGTGGCGGTTGCGCCGCTGGGAAGAGCCGCTGCCCGGGCGCGTACTGGATGGAGACGCGGGGGTGTGATGGCGGTGTGGCCGGAGGGAAGACGCGGGG